TATATATATACACACACATATATATATATATATATATATATATATATATATATATATATATATGTATATATATGTTTGTGTAAGCAAATGTTTGATCTGTATTCTTTTTACTATTATTGGAGTAGTAAATAATATTATTTCATGAAAAAAGAATTTATCCAAAATAATTTGGATACACTTAAAACTAAAATCTGTAATTTTAAATGCGGATTATAATGTACAGTACAGAAAAGTTTGTTAATTTTGAGATTTTCTACAGATATGGTTTATTAATTTCTTTAATTAATTATAATATTATTATTATTTTAATTTATTTATTTATATACTTTTATGTATGGAACTTTTAAGTGAGTGTTAGATGATGGTGTTGTTAAACACTAAATGTTATAATATGGGATACAGTGAGGCGCTATTAAATGTCAAGATTAAATGTTATATTTTAAATTGACCGGAAAAAAAGTATTTGTGTGTGTGTGTGTGTGTGTGTGTGTATATTTTTTTAAATCTAAATTTAGTGAGCATTCAGTTCCTACATTTTAAAATTGACTTTATATTATATATATAAGTCCAGCTTCAAGCTTCCAGCTTTATTTGATGTGCAAAACAGCATAATAGATGGGAACTCTTAAAAATAGGAATGAAAAACTACATAAAAGTGTAGAACAGCACCGAGGGAGACCTGTCACATCTTTTCATGCTCTGACTTATATGTATTCAGAAGCAAAAACTGCTGTGAGCTTCTGGATTCTGCTTCAGAAGTAGGAATATATTCATGCTGTAAACAAATTTATGCTAATGCCCTTTCTAAGCCAGCAAGCTGATACACCTCAGGTAAAGTAACACACTCCAAAACATCCGCGTATGTTTCATGATCAATTATTATTTGAGCAGATGAACATTTGGGCAGTAGCAAAGTGAATAACGTCATTAACTCCAGAGAATAGGTTCCTGAGAGTGGGAAAATCTGATAAAGCAATTGCATTACCACAGTCCATATCAGTCACTACTGTACATCAGCGCAGTGAGTTTCAAAGTAGTGATCAAATCTCTTGATTTCTTTGGTGCTTTATATTGTATAATAATGTGTTCAGTTTAACAACTGTGAAAAATGGTCTATAACTCTGCACAGTAAACCTAATTGCTTCCTGCACTATTTATTTTATTTCCCCAACACAGGATCTTAAAAAGCCTTTCGACAAGGCCTGGAAAGACTATGAGACCAAGTTGTAAGTATCATTATTGTGTGTTTATATTCTTTTGTCATGTATACTGTATAAAATGTTGTTTAATGTAATGTGTTGATATACAACCTCAAACACAACAATATATCATCATCATAGTCAAAGAGCCATTTGCGGTAACCTCTAGCTAAATTTAAGCTAGTTGTTTCTTCTGTTTCTTTCCTTTTTGTTGTAGCACAAAGATTGAGAAGGAGAAGAGGGAACATGCCAAGCAGCACGGCATGATCCGTACAGAGATCACCGGCGCAGAGATCGCAGAGGAGATGGAGAAGGAACGGAGGATCTTTCAACTGCAGATGTGTGAGGTGTGTGGGCTTGTGAAAATGGAACCTTTCTGTCTCTTTACTTCTTGTTTCACCAAGATAAGTTAGCTTGGTGGTAGTTTTAATTGTTCAGCAACTTCAGGTTGTTTCTTGCTCTCTTCTGCCGTGATGTCTTCTCTGACTTGAGGTGTTGTGAAAGGCCAGGAGATTTTCAGATGCATTCGTGTTTCACTCAGCAGCTCTGGAGCAAGTTTTGAAGCGGCTGCTTGAGACATCATGGCTTGGCAGTGTCTTAGCTCATGAATATTAATTAGGCCATTCTGACGTTGCTAGGTAACATTGCTGAACCATCCATTCACATAACCTGATTAATATTCACGAGTCAAGCAACAGTGGGCTTTGTATTTTCAGGTGGAGAATATGCTCGAGTATAGACATACCAGGATATCAGACCAGCTTTATGTTTAAACATAATTTTACATGGAATTTTGCTGTTTTTATATATATTGCATACACACACACACATATATATATATATATATATATATATATATATCTCCATGATGAATTTATCTGGAGATCAGGTCTGTAGTAGAGCATTTGGTCATCTTTGAGATCGAAACAAAAAATTATAACAACAATTTAATGCTGAATTATGAAGTGCAAAACATTTAATCATCAAAGGAAACAAAAATGGTTCCAAGGCTCAATCAAATAAACAGCTTTTAATACAATTGGATTTCATGATCAAAACAATATACAGATAAACTTATAATACAAGCAAAAAAAAAGTATAAAGTATATTAATGAGACTAAAGACTGTCCATTAGATTTACCCAATTATATTTCATGTTTAACCACTGTAGAGACATCAGAGCCAGCAGCAAATTCCAGAAGATCTGGCCGAGGTGAGGCTGCTCTCAGCGGGTTCATGAGCGCTAGGGTTGGGTATCGTTTGAATTTGATCGATTCCTAGTTTAGATTGCAATAAGATAAAAAATCTAATATAAAAAAATGAAGTCAAACATTTAGATGTCAAACATTTATTCTGTGTCTTTTTACAAAGCATTCTGTTGCAGCTGAATAACATGAGCAAAAATCAGCAGCCTACAGAACAATGCAAGAGGAATTTTGCCTATGCTTTAAAAAATAAATACCACAGCAAAAACAACTAGATTAATATAAATTTCAAATATTAAAGTGTTAAAGACAAGTAAACAGTCAGTAATAAAATAGGAACAAACAAATCAATTAGCAATAGCATAAATAAATACAACTGGACCAAATTTCGGGTACAGAAACTGTAATTAAAAGTTTAAAAACACTGCATAGTTTTCTTTTCATGAAATATAGATTAATCAATCAAAGTTATTAAATATATTCAGTCAAGATCAGTGACTGATTTTCTTTTGTTCTTTGATTAACATTAATGACAGGCAGAGTGTTTATAGGCTGCTGTCTCTTTAACACAGAACGCACGCAGATCTAAAAACACAGTACACGTGCGTTTTCTTTCTCATCTGTTTACATTCACTTAAGACAAAAACGGCTGTGTTTATGATGATATATTGACGTAGTTTTCTGCATACTGGTCGATAAAAATGAAAGAAGTCAGTTCTGGCCCAGAACAACCTTTTCAACAGTGGAAATGCACGGAACGGTTCGAGAGTGGACACAAACCGGGAACCCGCACCGCAACCACTGTTCTCTGTGCTCGCGCTTCGTGCGCGCTGCACGCAAACAAGGCGCAAGTTCTTTCCGTTCCTGCAATTAAATCGTTTTAAATCACATTAAAATGCGAACACAGGAATTGTTAAGCAGAATCGAAATGCACGTGTCTTATCGAATACCCGGTTCTTGGAAATTTGGAACCGATTCTAAAATGGAACTGGTTTTCGATACCCAACCCTAATGAGCGCTGAATGGCCGCTGACCACCTGGAGCTTACATCTCCAAAACCTTTGAAGCAAATTTTCAAATAGATGTTATCTTTATTAAAGGTGGGGTAAGCGATTTCTGGTAGCCAATGTTGAGCCCCTACCCCAGAAGGGTCTCGCCCCTATTTTGATAGCTCTGCCCCACACATACGTATGCAACCCAGGCAACGATTAGTTCTGAGAAACAAAGAAAAACCAATGTTACACCGTGTCTACACCGGACGTGAGTAGCGCTGCGCGACAAAATACTATAGAACTCATTATAATCAGTGATTTATCCACCATCTCTATCTTTCTGCCGCTCGGCTCAGCTAATGTCCGTCCTGTGCACTGAACGCTCTCTCCTCCACATCATGAGTAGACACACCCCTTACTGCTGATTGGCTACAAGTTTGTTTTGCTATTTGGCCCGAATCATTTTTCTAAAGCGTTTTTGAAAAATCGCTTACCCCACCTTTAACAAACCGCATAAACAAGTAAAATCGCCTAAAAAATTCTTAAAACTACATTCCGTGACACAAACACAGTATTATTTATAGAATTATAGTGGATTTGGACATCCGCCATGACAGTCACTGTGAGAAATACTGCAAGCAGAGTAATACAAACAGTAAAACAGTTGAAGTTCTTATATCACTAGAATATTGCACTCCTCAGAGCCAATCAGAATCGAGGACCAGAAAGAACTGTTGTGTAAATTATAATAACAGCTGATGCAGGCTAAAGTGGTACCCTCTGTTATATATTTCTGTTTTATACCAGATGTGGTTGGGTGGGGCATTTAAACACAATTCCTATAGCTGAGCCACTTTAACCACTTCAAAGCATGCATGTGTGTGTTTAGAAGTGTGCAGTGTTGATGTGTTTTCCTGTTAACACACCAGTGTCTCTATGTGCTTTACTGTCCATGGTTCCCAACAGTACCTGATCAAAGTGAACGAGATTAAGACCAAGAAGGGAGTGGATCTCCTCCAGAATCTCATCAAGTATTATCATGCACAGTGCAAGTGAGTGTCCCAGAATCCTGTTTTCTCTTAACAGATGTATGGTCTGTTACTGTAATTCCTAATAATTGTCTCCTAGATTAGTTAAGATATCCATATTAAGTGTGTGAAGTGGAGATATATTACCTTTGAAGAGTTTGAAATTGTACACAGTTATTAAATGTACACTACCGTTCAAAGTTTCAAGGTTAGTGATATTTAAAAAAAAAAGTAAATTAATACTTTTATAAAGCAAGGACAAAAGATCAAAAGGGACAGCGAAGGCATTTATAATGTTATAAAAGTTTTCTATTTCAAATAAATGCTGTTCTTTTGAACTTTCTATTCATCAAAGATTCCTGAAAAAAATGTATCCCGGTTTTAACAAAAAAGCAGAAAAAAAACAGCTTTGGATTTTGAAATGTATTCATATAGCTAACAGTTATTTTAACGTAGTAATATTTCACTGTATTGATTTTTGATCAAATAAATGTAGCCTTGATGAGCTTATTTCAAAAACAATAAGAAAAAAATCTTATTGACCCCAAACTTTTGAATATTATTTGATGTAGTGTTGAACAAATGCCTTACAGCCTTTCATTTGCTCTTCTTGTGTTTTCTCTCAGTTTTTTCCAGGATGGCTTGAAAACTGCTGACAAGTTGAAGCAGTATATAGAAAAATTAGCAGCTGATCTCTATAATGTTAGTTAACCTTTCATTTTATAATTATTTTTGCTGTTTTCTGTTAATATGTTGTTAGTTCAGTTATACTACTGCTCTACTTGTGAGAACATTATGATTATATTAAATATGATATCATGAGACAAGCATTATTAATATGAGCCTATGAAAGTAAAATATTGTCTCATATTCAGACAGAAAAAGTATAGATCAAATCAAACTGTTCCTTCGAACATGTAATAAATGTTCACTAGCAATGCCTTCTCAAGAGAGTGTTTACTGTTATGTTATGAAACATCTTAAAATGAGATGTTTGTTTTATATTGCTTATTTCGCCCTATATTTTAACACATTACTTTTGTATTGTCAGATAAAACAGACCCAGGACGAAGAGAAAAAACAGCTCACAGCTCTCAGAGACCTCATTAAATCGTCTTTACAACTGGACCAGAAAGAGGTAGGTACATCACCGGAGGATATATCCTCTGCCTTTAATCCAAAATAATTTGATGAGACCTTTTTGTCTTTGATTTACTGATCACAGAGTAATTGATCAGAATAGTGCCAATTCCTTTCATAAACATCATGTAGAATTGTCTTTGTATGCAAAAGTGGATTTACATGCTGTACTCGACATTAAAGATACGAGTCCGGATGTGAATTTGCTTTTCATGTCCAGTTTGTCATGACATTTGCCGCCTCTGTGAGACGTGTGAAGCAGGTTTTCAGTGTTTGTGTGCAAGCGTACACGTTCGTTCTCATGAGAGAGAGGAAACATGGACATGAGGGTCAGGCAGTGACAACACGAGCTCTTTTGTAGAGCCCAGCTTTTGATCTTTTATGTGTTTTGTTTGGAGTTGATGTCCATTTGAACCGGACGTCTCTGGTCTCGATTGAATAACGATGTTCTGTGTTGTATTATCCTCGAACGCGGCTGTGAATATTGTATAATGTAAGGTTCGCTCTTATTTTTATTCAATGCACACTGCAATAATAACAATCTGACATCTGCATTTCTGACTCCTTTTTCCCTTTCACTGCCTTCCAACTGAAGTCTAGGAGAGTAAGTTCATAAAAGTAACATCTAATGTTGCCAGACTGCTTTTTCCCCATTTGATTTTATTCTATATATTAGGGATGCACCGATATCGGCGTTTGGTATCGGGACATTTTAACGAGTACGAGTACAGGAGACCAGTATCGGTATCGGTGCATCCCTACTATATATAATGTGTTCAAAAGTCTGAAAGCGCTACTAAAAAATAATAATTTAATTTTCCTTTAGTTTTGCATTTTTCTAATTTAATAATGTAGAATTACATATAACATTTACATTTTGTGTAAAAATATTTTCCCCCCTTCATTTTACATAATTTTTTTCTTTGTTCAAAATTCAAAAACTTTCTTTTCAGTTTTAATGAAAAATAAAAAATCCCAGAATTTTAATGTAGTTTCAGACTTTTGATCGCACTGTTTTTTTTATCTTCAAGAAAGAAATTACTTTTTTTTACTACTTAGTTTTTACTCGAACTATAATCGTGTCATACTTTTTATTTATTAGATTATGGCAGTTTTTTTTGATGATGTGCAGGATTCTCAGAGCAAGCAGAGCGGGTACAGTATGCACCAGCTACAGGGCAATAAGGAGTTTGGCAGTGAGAAGAAGGGCTATCTGTTTAAGAAGAGTGATGGGTGAGCTCACAGTTTGATGTGAAATGTAGTCTGATGTTGTTGTTGTTGTTTTTAAATATTCTGTGTAGTGCCACTTAATTGTCTCTTTATCGTGCCTAATGGAATTGGCTACACTGTAATTAATTAATTTATTCAACATTAGCACATTGCTTCTGAGCACTGCTTTCTCAGGCTTTAGAGTGTCAAGCCATTCAAATAAATACAGTATAAACATCAGGCACCAAGATGCTTTTCCATAGATGCAACATTGGCACTCCTTAAATAAGCTGTTTTTAAAGAAATAGAGGCACAAATGTTATGTTTAAATTACTACATAATTTGAATGTTAATTCATGTTAATTTGTTAGAAAGAATGTTATCTAACATACTACTATTCAAAAGATTGGGCTCAGTAAGTTTTTTTTTTTCCAGTCCTGTCCAGTACAAAATTAATATTTTTATTCAGCAAGGACACACTAAATTGAATAAAGGTGACAGGTAATGTTACAAAACACACTGCTTTCAACAGTTATATTAATAATGTTTTCAACATTGATACAAATATGAGATGTGTCTTGAGAATCAGGATATTAATTTCTGAAGGATCATGTGATACTGAAGATCTCTGTCTCTCTCTGCCTACCGTTAAGTAACTTGTGCATTGTTTTACTTGCTTGTTTTTGACATATCCGACCGAACTACAAACTTTCCAGTGATGTCTGTGAGAAAGGTATATTCACTAGACAAGCTCGCGCATCTGCGCCGCCGCTCGCTCAATCCACTCAGCGTGCTTTGTTTATCAGCTCACGCACACCAGCTATACAGGCGTTAATACTGAATGTTTAACATTATATTCATTGCATACATATACTTCGTAGTAGACATCCTTAACTCCTTTCTGCTGTCTGTTGTTCTGTTGTTGGTGTTTCTTTGTTTGAATATGGCGCTTATCACATGCTGTGTGGTATCGGCGTTTGGTATCGGGACATTTTAACGAGTACGAGTACAGGAGACCAGTATCGGTATCGGTGCATCCCTACTATATATAATGTGTTCAAAAGTCTGAAAGCGCTACTAAAAAATAATAATTTAATTTTCCTTTAGTTTTGCATTTTTCTAATTTAATAATGTAGAATTACATATAACATTTACATTTTGTGTAAAAATATTTTCCCCCCTTCATTTTACATAATTTTTTTCTTTGTTCAAAATTCAAAAACTTTCTTTTCAGTTTTAATGAAAAATAAAAAATCCCAGAATTTTAATGTAGTTTCAGACTTTTGATCGCACTGTTTTTTTTATCTTCAAGAAAGAAATTACTTTTTTTTACTACTTAGTTTTTACTCGAACTATAATCGTGTCATACTTTTTATTTATTAGATTATGGCAGTTTTTTTTGATGATGTGCAGGATTCTCAGAGCAAGCAGAGCGGGTACAGTATGCACCAGCTACAGGGCAATAAGGAGTTTGGCAGTGAGAAGAAGGGCTATCTGTTTAAGAAGAGTGATGGGTGAGCTCACAGTTTGATGTGAAATGTAGTCTGATGTTGTTGTTGTTGTTTTTAAATATTCTGTGTAGTGCCACTTAATTGTCTCTTTATCGTGCCTAATGGAATTGGCTACACTGTAATTAATTAATTTATTCAACATTAGCACATTGCTTCTGAGCACTGCTTTCTCAGGCTTTAGAGTGTCAAGCCATTCAAATAAATACAGTATAAACATCAGGCACCAAGATGCTTTTCCATAGATGCAACATTGGCACTCCTTAAATAAGCTGTTTTTAAAGAAATAGAGGCACAAATGTTATGTTTAAATTACTACATAATTTGAATGTTAATTCATGTTAATTTGTTAGAAAGAATGTTATCTAACATACTACTATTCAAAAGATTGGGCTCAGTAAGTTTTTTTTTTTCCAGTCCTGTCCAGTACAAAATTAATATTTTTATTCAGCAAGGACACACTAAATTGAATAAAGGTGACAGGTAATGTTACAAAACACACTGCTTTCAACAGTTATATTAATAATGTTTTCAACATTGATACAAATATGAGATGTGTCTTGAGAATCAGGATATTAATTTCTGAAGGATCATGTGATACTGAAGACTGGATGAGACAAAACTGAATTTGAATTCTTTTGAAAAAATGTAAAAAATGTCCTGCTTTTCCCCCCAATTCTTAGAGATGCTAAGGAAAGATGTAATCATTTTTTTTCTCAGGATCCGCAAAGTGTGGCAGAGGAGGAAGTGCTCAGTGAAAAATGGCATTCTCACCATCTCCCATGCCACAGTGAGTACTTGTCATACTGCAAGATATACTCATGCTTGGTGACTAGCTGATATTTGCATTAAAAGGATACTTGTCTCATTATAGTACTACTTACCGATCGACAGAAGGTAATATTTTTAAGTTTGACTTTTTAAATTATTATAGCTGTAGCTTTCAAATTGTTGAATATATAAACAGTGTATATATACACAGCTGCCACAGTTTAATTTTCTTAAGACTTTTTGTTTCCTCATTATAGCACTGAAAACTCTCACTCGCTGTGTAAAGGTGAACATGGGGGGTAGTGCTGCCCAGTTACCATGGAAACATGCACCCAGTGCTATCTGACTCATACACTAATGATATTAGCACGAGTGAGACCCAGCATGCTCTGGGCCCCAGGTGGTCTATGAGTTTCCTCGTGTAATCTGCTGAAAGGACGCTGTTGCTCAGCAGATGCCGTGTGGAGCGAATGCATTTTGCTCTCCGATCTCTGTGGCAATGTGCTCCTATTCCTGTCTGATAGCATTTTAATGTGAAGAACTTTTCTGCCATCACGTCTGTGTTTCATCAGTATAAAAGTGCTCCTGCAGTGCTGGTATTTCTGTTTAGTCACCTTGGGTTTAACAAAATGAAGTTTTAATTTGTATTAATTATTCAGAAACAAAACAATGAGTCATGATAGTTGTTACATTTATATTGCACATGAATGTTTCCCGAATTTATTAAATAGTAATACAGTGGGTTATACAGTGGCACATCCCATGGTTTTTTCTTAAGTTTGTAATTTTTGAAGAAACAACTGGTTGCAAATGGAGCATCCAATACAGGATGTATTGGATACTCCATTTGCAACCAGTTACTTGTTATTTATTATAAACGGTGAGAAATATTTTACATGTATCTGAAGTATGATTTCTTCAATACTGCCTACTGTAGATGTCAGACAAGATCTGTGCTGGCAGTTCATTTTTATCACGACTGTTATTGTTACCAATATGGAGCTGTAGACATCTGTTTGATCACATTACATCCAGCTAATGCTTTTGTCTGAAGAGCCTTTTTTGTAGATTTTTTTTTTTTTGTTAAATAATAATTTTTTAATAATTTTTGTTTTTCATAATTTTTTTTTTTCCCAGCAGAACCTTCTCTCTAGGATTTGAGTTATATATACAAAAAACATTGCGAATATGAGTGTTTAGTCTGTATACTTGAATACTGTTACAACAGTATGTTTAGTAACATATGCATCAATTAATAAGTTGAGCAAGAATTTTTTTTTTTACCCTTCCAATATTTTCACTGGCCCCACTACAAAGATATATATGTTATTTTGGCAGCGTTTATTTTTTATGTGTGAGCAAGAAATCAGTTATATATTTTTTCAGTAAATGTTTATAAATAATTATTGAAATAAATAACAAAATAATATATACAATATAATGCAATAAAATAATTTATAACAACAAATAACATATTCATTTTTTTTATTTACAATAAGAGCTGAAATTCAAAAATTGTACATTCATAAAAAGCAATGGGATTTTTTTTTTAACTCATTGTAACTAACTAATGCTTCCAGTTCACTCTTCCAGTTTTGACAAAACCTCATGTTTGTTAGCCAGGTAAATGTCTTGATGACATATTTGGTCTTATAGGGCAAGTGACAGGTCCATTGAGTCTCAAACTGAGGCTCTCAGGCTATCTTCATTGCTGAGCCCTGGTGAAGCTCTGTTATGTCTGTCTATCTGCGGGTCATTTACTCACTGTAATTACGCTGTGTCCAGTCCAACAGGCAGCCGGTGAGATTGAATCTGCTGACCTGCCAGGTTAAACCCAGCGGAGAGGATAAGAAGTGCTTTGACCTCATCTCCCGTGAGTGGCTACACATTTCCTCCGCCAAACTTCAGAGTACTTTCATCCATACCAAGTGCTAGCAAGGCCTCTGGAAGTCTAACTCCATTACTCGGCCAGAGAGCACTAAGTGCAGTGTTCAGGGCAGTTAACATAATGCACTTCTTTCCCCTAATAATCTGTCTGCTTCTTTCCCCCTGCAGATAATCGAACATATCATTTCCAGGCAGAGGATGAACAGGAGTTTGTGATGTAAGTGTGAATGTGTGAGGTAGAGAGTTGATTCCATCTGTTATTTCTCTGTTCTCGTGCTCACGAGTGAGAACAAGATGCGTGTGTATGAGTGCTTCTGCATGTTAATGAGATGAATGTGTGTTTGTGTGTATTTCATCCTTGGCTGGGCTATAAATATGTTAAAAACAGTTCCGTTTTTTTTTTTTGTGGAAAAAATGCAGACGTTTATTTCAGCAAGAATGCATTAAATTTAACAATCAAAACTTGAAATAATCAATAAACTTTCTATGTATCACAGTTTCCACAAAAATATTAAGCAGCACAAGTGTTTTCAACTGTGATGATAAGAAATGTTTCTTGAGCAGCAAATAAGCATATTAGAATGATTTGTGAAGGATCATGTGACACTGAAAACTGCAATAAGTGTTGCATTATATTTTTGATCAATTTAATTCATCCTTACTGAATAAAAGTATGCATTTCTTTAAAAAAAAAATCTTACTGACCCCAAACTTTTAAACAGTACTATATATATATATATATATATATATATATGGATTTTTCATCTTACATGACAATATTTGCTGTATATATGTATAATCTAAAAATAAAGTGAAAGCCAGTAAATTCATTGTGAATATTTTGTGAATATTCAATATATTGGCCATCCTTTTTGTGTAGTATATTTTGCTGTGAGTTATTAAGCTTGTGTGTGTCTGTTGATATATAATATCTGTATGTCACATTTATATTAATATATAAATTAGTGTTTGTGTGTAAACGTTGTATGCAAACCTTTATTTGTTCGTGTGGTGTTTCACATAATTTATCGCATGTGCGTGTCCATCTGTAGAGGTGTGCAAGCGATTAATGCATATATGTGAATGTGTGATGTGCAGATGGATCTCAGTGCTGACTAACAGTAAGGAGGAGGCTCTGAACATGGCGTTCCGTGGGGAGCAGAGTGCTGGAGATGACAGTTTGGAAGACCTGACCAAAACCATCATCGAGGACGTGCTGCGCATGCCTGGAAACGAAGTCTGCTGCGACTGTGGTGCACCAGGTTAGCTGAGTTCGTGTATGAAAGTTTTGTAGCAGTTGGATCTGACACAAAGTCCCCACTTTGTCAGTGCAGCAAGCAAGGTATCAAAATAGAGTTTTATAGCTTCATGCGCCACCTTGTGGCTGAGAAGTGAATGGCAGAATGCACAGTCCTCAACAAATACAATAAAAGACCTAATTTTCCCCTTTTTCATCTGCTCTAGAGCCTAAATGGTTATCCACTAACCTGGGCATCCTGACATGCATAGAGTGTTCTGGGATTCACAGGGAAATGGGAGTCCATATTTCACGCATCCAGTCCATGGAACTCGACAAACTCGGCACTTCTGAACTCTTGGTAATCTGAACATTAATCTGGTCATTTAAAATATTTTAAAAAAAATTTGGGGTCAGTAAGTGTTGTTTGATTCTTTTAGCAATTATATAGCAAGGATGTATTTCATTGATCAAAATTGGCAGTTAGAACTTTTATAATCTATATAAAAACGCAGTTCTTTCTATTTATCCAATAATTATGAAAAAAAATGTATCACAGTTTTCCCTAAAATTAAGCAGCACAACTGTTTTCAACAGTGATAATAATAAGAATTGTTTCTTGAGCACCAAATCAACATTTTAGAATGATTTCTGAAGGATCATGTGACATTGAAGACTGGAATAATGATGATGAAAATTCAGCTTTGCATCACAGGAATAAATTACATTTTAAAATATATTAAAATAGAAAACAGTCATTTTAAATTGCAATAATATTTCACAATATTACTATTTTTTTGCTGGATTTTAAATCAAATAAATGCAGCCTTAGTAAGCATGAGAAAATAGTCATTTAAATAGTATTACCAATCTCAAAACATTTGAACAGTAATTTGTATGTATGTTAATTACAAATGATCAAGCTTTCTATATCAGCTTTTTGCCGAATGTATTTCTATTTAGAAATGCACAAATTATAGTTATGCTATGAACTGTTAATATGCTTGTTACTAATAGCTAATTGCAATTTCTCCACAGTTGGCTAAGAATGTGGGTAACAGCAGTTTTAATGAAATATTAGAAGGGATTCTGCCGAGTCCTTCGCCAAAGCCAACACCATCAAGTGACATGTGAGTACCAGCCTACATAGCAGACATGACAGAACTACAGACTTTAGCTATGAGAATTACCCTTTGTTTAGTAGTTAATGCACTAATTTATGTAAAGCAGTATATGCTTTGAAATGAGGTTTTAAATCTTGTAGGACCGAGAGGAAGGAGTACATAAACGCGAAGTATGTGGAGCACAGGTTTGCTCGGAGGACAGCCACTACAGCTACAGCCAGACAGGGCGACTTGTACGAGGCCGTGAGAACTCGAGACCTGATGGCTCTTATTCAGCTCTATGCAGATGGAGTAGAGCTAATGGATCCATTTCCAGAAGCAGGACGGGTATTGATCTCTGACTAATAGTTTGTCATGGACCTACTGATTTATATGCTGCTTATTTAGAGAAATATAGTCATTTATTCCCCAGAGTGTACATGAACTGACTTCAGGACAAATGACTAGTGTGGCTTTTTGCAAATGTGAGGTTGAAGCGATGGTTGCCCAAGGGTTCATCAGTATTCAGGTTTTTTTTTTTTTTTGTAAGATGCTTCCTGTTCATTTTAGAGGATCTGAAATCTGCTTGTTCACACTAGTGCTGTGTTCGATACATCGATGCGACGATGTATTGTCACAGAGATTTGACGATACCCACTGTGCTCTTAGGAACCTTAAGTGCAGCAGACATTTTTTTGTAACCTTGGCCAGATCTGTGCCTTGCCACAATTCTGTCTCTGAGCTCTTCAGGCAGTTCCTTTGACCTCATGATTCTCATTTGCTCTGTGAGCTGTAAGGTCTTATATAGACAGGTGTGTGGCTTTCCTAATCAAGTCCAATCAGTATAATCAAACACAGCTGGACTCAAATGAAGGTGTAGAACCATCTCAAGGATGATCAGAAGAAATGGACAGCACCTGAGTTAAATATATGAGTGTCACAGCAAAGGGTCTGAATACTTAGGACCATGTGATATTTCAGTTTTTCTTTTTTAATAAATCTGCAAAAATGTCAACAATTCTGTGTTTTTCTGTCAATATGGGGTGCTGTGTGTACATTAATGAGGAAAAAAAATTAACTTAAATGATTTTAGCAAATGGCTGCAATATAACAAAGAGTGAAAAATTTAAGGGGGTCTGAATACTTTCCGTACCCACTGTATATATGATTTTTTTGATATATTAGAATGAGTACATTACAATATAAATGTATTAGAACGAGTACATTATTATTTATGGGCTTAAAAACAAGATGCAAGCAATCAGAATATTGTACATGGTGGGGAGTGCCCAATGTAAACATGAAACATATGTCATTACCTATATTGTACTGTGGTACAGTTATGGAGGCCCTTCATGATGAAGAGGTCAACTGCCTGCTCTGCCAATAGTTAGAAATGGCACTATAGTATGCAGTGTTTAATAAACAGCTGTCTTACTAAATTCTGCTGAGGTGAAATTCAGTGCAGTCTTGTATCGTGATATGTATCGCATCGTGGCCTCTGTACCGCGATATGTATCGTATCGTGACTTTGCTGGTGATACACAGCCCTAGTTCACACAGTCAATTGAAAGAATAAGCTATATAGCTATATAGCATATTTTATTAAATTCAAATAATTCTCAGTAATGCTCAGTAATGTCCTGATTCTGACTGAATTACTGTCAACAGGACCCGGGAGAGACAGCGCTGCACTTTGCTGTGCGGACATCAGACCAGACCTCGCTGCACCTGGTGGACTTTCTCGTCCAAAACAGGTATCGGACAGAATATTCTGTTGTGCACATTAGTCCACTGGAGAGAATTAAGCTGCAAGATGGTAAATATGGATCTGTGTGTGTACAGTGGAACTCTAGACAGACAGACGGATAGTGGAAACGCTGCTCTCCATTACAGCTGCACATATGAGAAGGCAGAGTGTCTCAAACTGCTGCTCAGGGGAAAACCATCTATTGACTTGGGTAAGGGGACTATCTTTAGCATCTCCCCAAAGATGTTTCAATAGAGACATCATCTGCAGTTATTTCAAAATAAATATGATATTTGTTACTTTGAATTTGTGTGATGATTGATTGTTGTAAATTATTTGCTGCGTAATATCATTGCGCCTGCTGTACCCATGGTACGGAGTTGGAAAATGAGCCTATTTTCAAAAACTTTGGAGTGTTCCTTTAAAATTGTGAATTGTAAATGATAATGTGTAGAACAGTAGTATGAAAAATTGCAATTTAACAGTTTTCTATTTTAATGAAATGTATTCCTGTAATGGCATAGATGAATTGAATGCATCCTTTCTGAAGTATAATTTTTTTTTTATTTCTAAATAAGCTTGGAGGCTCATCCTCCGACATGTTTCATTCCTCAAATTCTTTGCACAGAGTAATACAGTTGTCACCACACCTAACCTGGAGGCTTTGCTTTTTTGCTTTTTTGCTTCTTGCACAATATAAATATATGTACATTTTCCAAAACATAATATATAACTGCTAAAAATCTAAAAACAAAGTTATTGTTTATTCTTCATTTAATTACAATAGTTATCGCAAGGCTCTTCTTATGCGATTTATGTGTTTTATTTCAGTGAATCAAAATGGGGAGACGGCTTTGGACATTGCCAGACGACTGAAAAATGCACAGTGTGAAGAGCTAGTGAGTGTGATCATTTTGTACACAGTGCTTATTCTTCTGTGTTGCCGACACTGTTAATTACAGAAGAATTTTGCCATACAGCCACCTGCAGTTTCACTATACAGTCATGTAATTACTCAAAACATGGCCTTTTCTGGCATTAATGTCAGAGAGGAGAAGTGTATTACATTAATGGTTTGTGATTGGATGCGCAGCTGGTGGAGGCAGCAACCGGGAGGTTTAATCCTCATGTGCATGTGGAGTATGAGTGGAATCTGCGGCTGGAGGAGATCGACGAGAGTGACGATGACCTAGATGACAAGGTTTGTGCGCCTACTTTATTTTGTCCTATATCTCCCTATAATAGAGCTCTGCTTTACTCTGTCAGTTAAGAGCTCCTTTTTTATGCACCTCGTACTGTAAGCATGAGCATTAGGAGTAATTTTCTGTATTAAGAGGAAAAATAAGACAAAAAAACACTACCGGAGTTACCCAGAGTTTACATTGAAAACTATTTGAGAAGTATATTGCTGCTGTTAGGGTAATGCACATATAAATAGTATGGTATAACTCAGTCTATCCACCTTATTTTGGAATGCGAAGCAAACTATTTTCTGTGAATGTGCTAGACTTCCAATTCTTTAGGAGCTATAGGTAAATAATTACAAGAATAACAAAGTTTTATATACATATAAATATACACAGTACACACATATATTATGTAAACACATACTTTTATTTTGGAAGCAATTAATCACGATCAATCAATTTAACAGCCTTACTCTCTGCCCACTCAGACACAGAAAATGATTTTATAAGGGGCAAAGTTTCTCAAAGCGATTTCAATTTATTCCTAAATCAAAATCACATTTGATTGCATCATAAAAGTGGATCCTCATCTGCAGAGATCCATGACTTGAGAAATGAGAACTGAAAACGCCAATGAGAATCAAAATATTGCTACATTTAGACACCACCTCAACAGTGCATATCTACAGCGCCACCCAGTGCATTCAGTTGTAATAGCAAGGTTTTACTATTCTCAAATAAATATTTTTTCCATCCCCAGCCCAGTCCAGTGAAGAAAGAGCGTTCTCCCCGACCTCAGAGCTTCTGTCATTCCTCAAGTGTGTCCCCTCAGGAGAAGCTGTCTTTGCCGGGGTATTTAGGACACAGGGACAAACAGCGACTCTCTTACGGAGCCTTTGCCAATCCCGTCTACAGCACCTCCACTGATACACCTGTGTCTCCAGTATCAGAGGGGCCCACAATAGCCAGCAAGACCACTTCAAAAGGTATACACACCTTTATTAAGATTAATATGCATGACACTGCAGAAAAAAAAAAACGAGTAGGCCAGGTGCCTGGAAAGGTAAAACATGTTGGTATATTGACTTGTTTGCATGTTCCTGATGTCTTTGCATTAACTCTAATTGCGAGGGAGGTTTAATGTGCTATCAATGGAGGTTAATCGTGAGTGATTATGAAACATTCTCTCACACCACAACCACTGTTTGCTTGCAAACTGAACTGGAATGTGCAACCTTTGGCTTTAGTTTCAACTAATCGGATATTAGCCTGCCGCCTGCATTCTGGGATCATATCAGGCCTCACTTGTTTCTCGACCAATCACGTCATCTCGTCACTCTTTCAGCTCCGTCCACTGGACCGCCCACCTCCCTGCCGCTGGGATCACAATCGAGTGCAGGAGGCAGCTCCACTCTGTCTAAGAAGAGAGCGCCTCCTCCACCTCCCGGACACAAGCGTACCCTCTCAGACCCCCCCAGCCCTGTACTTCAGGGCCCGCAGAGCAAAGGTGCGTCCAGGTGGCAACACCTCTGTTTTGTGACTGCAGAAACAACATTCCGTCGCCACCTCTGCTGACAGAAAAGAGCAAAATTCTTGCAATTTTGTTGTTTTGGTGCTGATAGTGGTGGTGGTGGTGGTGTGAAGTGGGTGGGTATGAATTCTGAGACTGATCTTGCCAATTGCAATGAAGTAATACTCTGAGTAATTGATTTAGGGCTCTTGTTCTTGAGTATGTGTTAATGATCAAAGACAGAGCTTTCTGAGTATTATAATACTTGTGACATAACAAACACCTAAGGATGTTAATACAATTATTGCTTGACTTTACATTTTCTTCAGTATTTTCTCTTTCCTCACCCCACAATGAGAGTTAAAGTGGTTAATCTCCATTTGATATTCATATTAATCAGTTTATGGCTGCTTTCTTTTCATTTTGTGATTCAGAGCGTTGCAATTTATTAACAACAATTAATTTTGTTCATGCTGTGTTGCATTTTTACAATTAAATTAGCCTACTAATTTGTTTAAAGGTAAAGTGTGTAATTTCTGTTCTATTAGCTCCACCAGCAAGAATTTAGAATAACTCAAATTAAAATGGTGGTTAAAATATGTTAATAATAATTACAATTAGATTGAAAATCAATTTAGGAAATAATGTCAAAATTGTAACATTGTTTTATCATTTTAATTTTTTTAATAGAATATAGTCGAGAATGTCAAGAATTTTTTTTTTAAAGGAGATATATTATGCCTTTTTTTACAATATGTAATATAAGTCTCAGGTGTCCCTAGAATGTATCTATTTTGAGTGGAAGCAGAAACAGGCTGTTTTCGTACCTGTCTCTTTAAATGCAAATGAGCTGCTGCTCCCCACCCCCTTTTCCAGAATAGAGCTGCGCCATTACAGCTCATACCTGCTAAAAATATCTGTTTTGGTTCCGATTCATGTTTATCACGCTGAAATCATGCGTTTTAAACTCCTCTGAGGCTGGGACTCTAAATAGTGTTCTGTGCTCGTCTGTGCAGCCAAAGACAGAACAGTTAGCATGTTTTACTCAAACTTTCGCCATGGCATTAGAACTGATACACCGCTGTCGCTTGCAAAATCAAAATGACGGCTCCTTGGGTGTAAACTTTTACAGATTAAGGAGCGGTAATATTATAATGAGATCCCTTTGCGACGTCACTAGGGGAGCGAAATCAGACACGCTCGTTACTGGGTTAATCTTTTTCACGTTTCCTTGGTTGGTAGATGCACCAGGGACCTGATTATAGCTCTTAAAACCTGGAAAAGTCAGATTTTCATGATATGTGACCTTTAATGACATTGAATGTGTTTAGAAACTTATATGCTTGGTTCATTTAATGTGCCCAAATACATTTTGCTAGGTTCATTTAGCGTTAAATAATAGTCTGTTTAACAAATACAAACCAATAATACATTAATGCTTTTTAAAAAGTCTTACCGTACATACAAAAATATACCGTATTTGTGAAAAGTGCCAGTTTTCAAACAGGTTTCCCCAAACACTCTCCTAATCTTCCATTGGTCGGATAAACAGATAGTTTGCCCCAAAACTCATGCCATTGGTTGAGCTAATTTTGTTCTGTTGCACTGGTTGTGATGCCCTAACAAACTGACAGCTTTTATATTTTTTTCAGAGAAAATCAACATGCAGTTGGCTTGCTTATAGTTGACTTGGGATATTAAGCTGGGATTGGAGAAAATATTTTAACATAATAAAATAAGCATCATCATTTAGTAACTTGTTCTTGGTAACATCAATGAAAGTCACATGCACATAAAAACAAGAGTGTAAAACATGGCCAAAGCTCTTAATGAAATACAGGAACTTCAAACCTGCTTTAAACCTCTTCTCTCTTTATATTTTGAACCTCATAGGAAGTGAGTCCACACCTCCTTCTGCAAATCGGACGTCCCCGGCCAATAAGTTTGAGGGAATTCAGCAGCAGCAAAGGTGCTGCACCACACTCACATTCAGACAAACCTGCTTGATATAGAAAACCTGCTGTTTTTTAAAAATGGGATAGTCCTATTTTGCACATTAATCATTTGTGCATTTTACTGCATGTCAAATCGATCTTGAAGTTAAAAACATGAGACCATAAAGATTTAGCGTTTATAATTTTCATGTTACCTTTGAAAATACATCATGAAGGTTTTTCTAGTCTGTTATAGAGATATTAATGACATGTCTTTCTTGATTTCAGCACTACTTCTATGAACACAAAAGCAACATTTGGCCCACGAGTTCTTCCCAAACTACCTCAAAAAGGTTAATTTCACATGATATTAACTATTCAACTAAAGTGATTTATTTATATTTCTAATTTTGAACTTTATATTGACCTACACATCTTTCAGTGGCACTACGAAAGATTGACACAATCCACCTCCCCTCAGTGGACAAGTCCGGTCCTGATGTGCTGCAGAAACCCCCACAGGCCCAGGACACTCCTCCCACCAGAGCTTCAGATACAATAACTAGACCCACTGAGCCGCCACCTAAAATCCCACAACCTGCAGAACGCTCCCAACCTGTGGAGGTGCCGCAGAAACCACATATCTCAGACCTTCCCCCCAAGCCACAGCTATCTGATCTTCCCCCAAAACCACAATTGCCGGATTTACCTCCCAAACCTCAGCTTTCTGACCTGCCCCCGAAACCTCAGCTTAAGGATCTTCCCCCTAAGCCGCAGCTCTCTGACCTCCCATCCAAGCCTACGATGTCTTCAGCAGCTGAGACCACACAGAGGCAAACATCGCAGGAGGAAACAAGTCCCAAGCCCCAGCTGACAGAGGTGCAGTCATCCAGTCAGCAGGAGCAGCTCTCTCCAAGACAGGCCAGTGAGCACACTAATGGTGCACCTGCAGGAGCTGTGGAAATGCCAGTCCCGATGCCACGGAAAATAAACACAGTGGTGAGTGGAAGACCTTTTAAAAGTTTTATGTATGTACTGTGGACTAGGGATGGGCGATATGGGCTTAAAAATGTATCACGGTAATTTCTGATATTTATTGCGATAACGATATCAATGACGATAATTTAGGGCCGGCCCATATCGGCCCCATGTGAAATCCAGGCGGGCCAGATGTGGGCCGGATCGGGGCCGAAACTGTCTGCTGTCTGGGTAAAATCGCACCAACTTCAGGCGGTGCGAAAACGCCAAAAAGTGGGTAGTTCCACAATTAGTTCTGGTACTATGAAAAGGTTCCCGCGGTGCGAAAGGCCCTATTGTAATGACTGTTTGATTCATACTGGAAGCCGGAGGGCTCCACATATGCATAGTAGAAGTAATGCTCCAGGAAGAAGTATCCAGTGATCGCTGTAGCTGAATAAAACGTAGATAGAGAAATTTTAACTGAGGAAACCTGAAGACAGGAGCTGCTCAATTTCACGTCCGCCTTCCTTCGTGTCACTCCACACAGTCGCACACAGAAATATGTAAACAGCTAGACTTTATCGTTATTATCGTGGGAAGACGAATTCTTATCGTGTGGAGAATTTTTACCGGTATATCGCAAAGATAAGATATCGTCCATCCCTACTGTGGACCCAAAAGGTTTTAGCTTAACAACCAGTGCACAAATTCTTTTTTGTCTTCACTTTAAAGGGATAGTTCACCCAAAAATGAAAATGTTGTCATTAATT